AAAAAATGACCGATATGGTCGGTGGGAAGTGAAGCCAGGGGTACCCAAAACCGTAAATTTATTTTTTTTTAAAACATACATACCGTTTGTTATTACAAGAGCGTGATCAAACATCTGCCCTAAAAAAATCATAAATACCATAAAGATGCTAGAATGTTATTCCTATGAAATAAGTAATTAATACATTTTAGGGCATTATTTCGAAAGAAACATTATAATTGTTCTGGTTGTGCATAATACTATTATAGAAATTTGCACATATGGACAGAAAAAACATTTTTTTAGAAATTAAAATTAAATACGCAAAATTTGTGATTTTATTTTATTCATGCAGTGCATTGAATGAATGTTAACTACAAATGTTTTAATAATCATAAAAAAAATATCTAAAATGTATTAAATATGAATGGAAAACATGAAATTAACAACAAAATCAACTAAAAATACATAGTTATTGAATGATACTTCTTATTAAATATAAAAATAGTGACATTAGAAACGTAATTATTTCATTATTTTATTGTGTTGTACGTTTACTTAGACATAAGATAAAAGATATATGTCATGTGTAATCTTATGTATAAAATAGAAACTATAATGGTACTTAGTGTTTTCAATGCTTGGTTTCAAAAAAATAAATGCAAAGTCACGCTAATTGCACCTGAATGATTGGAGTTAAAAATACACTAAAGATCGAAAATCAGATTAGGAGGGCTAAAAAAGGAGGGCTAAAAAAGTTCTGAAATTCCTCAATCATGTTTTCATTTTCAAACTTTATACAGTAGATTACGTTGAGCAAGTCAAAAGGCATTTATATATATTTGAGCAATGTGCATATTATGGAGTAAAATCAAATTACTTACGATAGCAAGAGATTGAACGATTTATTTCTAAATAATTTAACAGATAATAAAACGTAAGACATGACTTCTTTTTATTACTTACAGCCACAAATGCAAATATTAAGGTAGGTAATAGGTAAAAAATAAAACATGCTTATAGATTCTGAATTGTTATTCTGTGAGAAATATAATTTTATAACGAATCACCTTCTATTTAATAATATGTTTATAAATTGTTCATGAAAACAACAGTAATTTTATACAATGTGTACATTTAATATATATTAATTTAAATGTACACATTGTATAGAATTAATGTTATTTTCATGAAAAAATTATTAACATATTCTTTATTTCATAAAAAGGATTTAATATGGATTTAATATGGAATAAAAATAAAAAATATACCCACTTGCCATATTTGTTAATAATGCATCAATATTTCTAACTATATAAAACATTAAACATATATATAACAAATTAATATGTTTAACCATGTCTGTAGGTACCAACAATGAACTGATAATAATGATTGCGTTGAAAAATATGAGAAATATAAGAATAGTATTAAAAGTTGTTTAAAAACGGTATTTAAACTATTATTCAGCAAATACGAAGCAAAATATGTGAATATATTCCAACTGGGTAAACCATCAGGGGAAATAGTAATAGGTAAATAATGTTTTACTGTCTACATAACACGATCTGTAAAAAGGTGTTCAAATACCAGGTTGGGACAACAGCGTGGGTGGCGAAATAAAACTTAGTGTATGCTATTACTAGTCAATTATGGCAAGAGAAAATGGCATAGAGACTACATACTTAAAGGCAACAGATTTAAATAATACATTACTGTTATGAGTAAATGCGATACAACGTTATAAGATGTATGCATGGAAAAATGTTTACTAAACGCACAAATTCTATTAATTGAATTTACAACTCCACAAAAATATATGAAAACCTCAATACTTTTAGATAAAGGCAAACAATCAAGGATTTTTAAAGTTAAAATTAAAATCAAATAGATCACTATGACAACTAAGTTCAATTTATATCAATGCTTTCACAAACTATAAAATAGTTTGAAAAGTTATGATGACGTTGTATCGATGTCCCTATCTGAATCCACAGCATAGGTAAATTACCAAAATAATTGTTTAAATGTTCACATTGGCCGGGTGCATTCTTAGTAAATATACTTTTGTATAGCGCCTAGAATTTTGAAAATGTTTTGAATTGTATTGAACTATATTTTATATAGGCATATTACATTATCTATTATTATTTGTTTTTTTTAAACTCAAGTCCATAAAAATATTTTCGCTAAAAAAAATACTAGTTTCCTTATAATTTATTGTTAATGAAAATCAAAAAAAATGTTGAGAGTCAACCCACAATATTTTTTAATGAGCGTTTAAACTTAGAATTTTAACAAAATTTGTAAGAATCCCGAGACTCAACAAATTATTTTCAATTTGAAATTTATAAAAATTTTCTTTTTTTACCATCTAAGATTTATTAATTCAATAAAAGATTTCTTAAAAGTTTGCCTAATTGTACAAGAAAAAGATATCTACTGGGAGATCAAATTAAATTTATACTAGCAATCGAAGTTAATATTTTTACAACATTGGATATTCATTCAATTTCTCAAATTCCGATTTCCTTATTTTGTTTTAATATTCAAAAATGAATTAGTCCAGACACTTGAAATTCGTACAAAATTATTGTTCTACTAATTCATATACTTGATGACATTTTCGAAATATTTTGACTCGTTTTAAGCTAGTGGCAGACATTGTAAATTTTCATTTAATTTCAAATTTTTTTTCTTTAAAATTCTATTTTTGTAACTAAAAATTTAAAAATTGTATGAATAAGTACTGGTTTTTTTAACCGACATTTTAAGTTCTAATTTTAATAAAATTCCATATTTACACAAAGAATAACGTTTATGAAGTTGATGTTATTCGGTTCCAAAGCCGCACAATTTTACATAGGTATATTTAATATTTTCCCAGAATCTCTAATAATATAAGAATAATATTGATTCAACTTCCGACTATATTATCATATTAATAATTAGTAATAACAATATAAAAAATAACAGACTGACTAGAAGTCGTTTTTCGTATATAATGATATGGTATTTATTTTTCGATTTAGATTTTGGTTTTAAATATTGATGTATATATTTTTTAATATAGTGGGGACCACGTATATCTTGCAATAAAACGGCTCTGGATACAAGACCATAATTCACACTTACACCATACTCTCAACAAATATGTACAGAAACTAATATCTACTGCAACTAAGTCACTGAATTAGGTACAATAAACAGTGAACATAAATAAATTTAAAGAACGAAAATGTATTTCAAGTTGGAAAAATTTTATAAGATACAATCATTATAATTGAAATCGATTTTAAATATCAACACAAATCGTGTAAAATCGTCTAAGTAATGAACAATGATATCAAAACCAACATTTCTCACGATGGTATTCAAAATGTATTTTGAAATCGACAAAGTATTCAGTAAATTCTAAACCAATAATCAGTCTATAATTTTAAAAATATCAATAAGTGATTTTAAATTTCAAAAAATGTATCATATTTTTTTTAGTTTTGTGTTAAAATTAAAAACAAGGTTTCTAATAAGTAGGTCATAATACTTGCTGATAAGGTGGTATATTATTATTTATTAGTATTCAGTCTTTTATTGTATCACCTGTTAACCATATTTCGTAGTCAAATTCAATACACCGAAATGGCTTTAAGCATTTTAAACAGATGTCTATAACCGTTTTAATGCGTTGTACGGAAGCACAATAGAATAGGTTGAAATTTTTGAAATTTTTGGGACCGAATTCTATTAACGACTTGTATTAAGACGAACTACATTTTTGACATTTTTTTTTGCTTTCCTGTTAAAAAACCCGACATTTATGAATAAGGTTTGTTCCAGCTTGAAATATAAAGCAGATGCAAATTGAATAACGAATATATAATTGTATATCCATATGCTGATGATACGAATCTGATCACAACTGGAGGATTCCACGACATTTGATCCGGTAAATAATATCCGTCCACAAATGTATTGACGTTGGATCAAAATCGGGCTTACATTTCAACAATTGATTCAATACTTCTATATATGAATCTTTTATTCTTTCGGTCATTAAAACTTAAACTAATGGTAATAAGCATTCGTTTTTATGACAATGTATAGTATACAACTGTGAAAAAATATATATGATCGATTTAAAGGTTCCACGCTAAACCAACTATCGGATTTCTGAATCTCAATCAAATTACGTTGCGTTGAACATATTGTAATTCTATTTTCATTATTTTCACTATCATAAGTTAAAAATATTTCATTTTTTTAGTAAATTTGAATGAATCAGCTATGATCAAACCGTTTACTTGGCTAGGATTAATTGGTGGATTTTCTTTTATTACTCGTGTTCTCAGAATTATTCTAAATAGCGCTTTAATTGTAGGTACTTGTCCTATTACCGTAACAGACACATCTTCAAGATGTTCACTGATCATATTTCTTGTGCTTTTTTGTTCATTTGCAGCTGTTTCTTTCATAGAATTAACCACCTTTTTAGCTTCAACTTGAGCAATATTTGGCGAATGACAATAGGCCGTTACTCTTATTAACTCCAATTACATTTTTTTTTTTAAATAAAAAATATAAAATAAAAATATTAACATAAAGTATAAATAATATCTCGGTCTATTGACTCTATCGTTATACCTAATATATAACTGTTATTGATGACCGATAATCTGAAAACGAATACAGTGATTTCAATTTTACACATTGTAAAATAACATAATTATTTTCGTAATTCTACCATCACTTAATAGTTAATACCCCCCACGGTTGGGAACCACTGCTACCGCGAGTATTACACCCGACACAAGTTCAACTGAATTGAGTATGATTTGTAATTAGTATTGAAGTTCTGCTTCTATTCAAAACTACACAGGTCAACACTCCTAGAAAATTCCTATGTTAGTGAACTTGAAAAAAGATTTCATCAATTGGAAAAACAACTTAAATAACAGTTAACCCAACCGATTTCTGGTGTGTAATTCCTACTGAAGATAGAATGGTTCCAGTAGGGGTCTTTCTACCCTAACAATGCTTTTCCTTAATCCTTTATATTGTATTTTACTCACTTCAAGAACATTAGTTTACGTATTCTGTAATGAAGCAATGTCCGCCATTATATCACTATTGGTAGGAATAAAACAACTTTAATGTCATATGATAATCTTCGATGGTAGGCTCTCCGGGAAAGCTACAATTAGCATATTGCAAAACACGGCTGCATGAATGCAACCCAATAAACTTTTTTTGCGGACAAAGAATACGGAGTAAAATAGAATTGAGTATTCGTGAATAATGACACCAGTCATTCATGTCTCTACCGACAATATTATGCACAAATATCAATAAGTAGAAACAGAATAGAATGATATATGTAATATATTAGTCGTTACTCGTTAAGTAAAATCATTATTAAAAATGCAGATGAACTTGGAAATGAATACAACAAATGCTCAATTAATAGACATTGTTTTATCTACAAAATTCAATGACCTAGTAATAGTAATTAAATAATTCAAACAAATTAGTCGGCTATCTCTTATAAATCAGGACTTGTTCATCGAAGTACTTTGATTAAAACACAGCACACTTAGTGTAGACAGTTAATAGTATTCAGTTTAAATTTATTGTCGTAATATATAATATAATATTATATTTATAATAAGAAAAAGTTAACTTAGATAATTCCTATATATCTAAGTTTGCAATATAATAACATAATGTATTTATATTACATCAAGTCGACATAATTGAATCATTAAAATATGTGGAAAAAGTCGATAGTTTATCTGAAAACAAAAATAATATATCAGTTTGGTTTAATTTAGTGTACCTTTTGCTGTTTACTGACGTATCGCAAATATACATATTATATACTTCAGATAGGCACAGGACGATTTATGGCGATAACCAAACTACACGAGATATCGCAATTCGACCATAATAGCGTGGGCCGATGATATTTCCTGGACCTTGTACTCACACAAGGGATAGTAAGCGCCTGCAATATTCTGTCGATATGAGATTAGTGGTGGAGATAAGACTTATATATTGGAGACCCGAGCACCCGATATTCAGACGTGATTGATTAGAGTGAGTACAAACATTTTCACGAAAACAGTCTCTCTAAAATTATTCAACTACACAATAAATATTCAAACAGTTTTACGTCCACACTAAAATTCATGTTTATATATTTATATAATATTTACCTACCATGCACTACTTATGTTTACCTTTTAACGTCGAGCTGCTGAAACTAATTCGAAAATAATTAATTAATTCTTATGATCTATTAATTTGTGAGTTAACTAAAATATTAATTCTTACCGGTTAAGTTACTAGAGCTGTACGCATAGCAAAAAATATTTGGATATTTAAAATGCCCAGGAGCTAAAAAACAAAAAGACAAACAAATTAATTGAATTTCTTATATCAATTTGTATTTATATTTATTTGAATATATTTATAGACCATAGCACTTATACATAGATATTTAAATATATATTTTAATATAATATACGTTTTATTTAACGTTCGATATTTATTTTTATTGTTCAGTAGCCATTTTATTAGGTACACACTATTTACGGCAGTAGAATAATTCCTAAGAAAATGATCCAGTGGTGCTGAAATGATTTCAATTAGGTTCAAGTTGGTTTTTAGTGTTAGATACTTCATACATGTTACATTTTATGCTATTATGGAGACACAGTTATAAATACATATGAATTATAAAAGATTTATAATTGAAACATGTAATAATACATAATTATAGATCGTTGACAAAAATAACTTACCTGGGTAAACGGTGCCTCTCAATAAATCCAGCTCTAATATAACGTAAAATACAGGTTATTACTCGTAGGTATATACTTTCCATTGGCTAATAATAACACATTTTATGTAGGGTATGCATACAATAAAATAATACAACTGACGGAATATGAAATGATTGGGGTGATTTTAATATTATAGAGTTGGAGTATAATGTTTCAATTTTAATAGTGAGAGATGTACTGAACATCTGTATTGTATAATTTGTACAACGGAAAGAGATACTAACGCAATAAGTAATAAACTAATAACTATTAACAAGATAAAAGGCACAACTGTACATAATGGCGGTCTCCAAAGATTTTTACAATTACCCACAAACTACAATATTTCTCCTTATACGATGGTTGGTACGTCTGATCGTTGTATTAATAAAAAAAGCAACAAAAATACAATGAATTCTATGACGTGACTTAACGATGTTTTCAACCCCCATACATAATTATAATAATATACATACGGTGGTTTTTAAATAATCAAATGATATAGTATAGCCAAAGCTGTAGCGAGGGGGGAGGTTGAACCCTGAATCCGAAATTTCTGGCTAAGGGCCTTGATTTTCATATTTTATCATATAATATAATATATTTATACTCAACCACACCCCCCCCCCCTAAATATTTTTCTAGCTACTGTCTTGAGCATTGCTATGTAATAGGAAATCGGTATGAATATACATTGTAACATTCTAAAGATCGCACTTAGTGTTATTAATATTACATCTTTTACAATAGGATTAATGTGTATTTTTATTTGTACTATCTATTGTAATATATAATCATCTCTAAGCACAGTATACATTATACAATACTTAGATGTAACTTGTAATGTATATTTACTCAAAACAAGAGCGACTGAACTAATATCATCAATATCCAAAAATGAATAATCTGTAAAATGATAAATCCTGTCATTCAAAAGTATTATTTTGTTATTGCTTTTTTATTCCAAAATGATTAACTACATATACTCGAGATTTGTGAACGGAATTACAGAATCCAATGTATAATAATCATAGACATATATAATAATATTATGTGGCTAACTGTTTTTTTTATTATTAAATACCGTTATCACATCAAAATGTAAACATTGTCGTTTAGGCAGGTATGGCAATTTTGCCTTCAAAGATAGACCAATGTCGGCTATCTAGTTGTTTATGTATGTTTATGGTAATAATATATATTATTAATTTAAGAAAAGATATAAAATTATCAATTTAGCCTGTTGAAATAAAGTAAATAAAGTAGATTTTTAGTTTTTGATCGAATATCTAAGCAAAATGATTTTTAATAGCTTTATGGAGTGTTTAAATAATAATAGTTTGTAAGATGAATCGATAAAACAATGTGATATTTAACAAGGATTCTCAATAAATTAATAGCAAATTGAAGAGGAAATTTTAGTAATTGGCCAGAAATCAATAACCAATAGGACGGAGGTATGATATAAATATAAGTTTGTGGAAACAAAAAATCAGTTACATTTATTGATGTTATTTTGGATACTCGACTAGAGTGGATAATATTATAATACATAATCTACAATGCTGATACATCAAACATCCAAAGAAAGATTCATTTAATGTAGGTACTAAAAATATGATCATACACATCATGAGTAGGTGACTCAAAAATAATAATCCAGATTCGAAATTGAATTACAAAAAATAATCGAAGCTATGAATGAATTCTTTACATTTCAGCATCTTATTCTACACTGACGTCAATATATGGTATCAGCAACAGAGGAGTAAGCAGTCATATTTGTGTCTTATAAATGTAGCTATTTAATCTATTATACATCATACAAACGAGTTGAAATATCTCTTAAATAAAAGGCTAGGACAATTAGGAACAACATTAACCCTAACACGAAAAAAATTTAGAAATTCTCAAAAAACTATGATGAATACATTTTGCAGAATATGCTGACAACAGAACATAATATTAAGGTAAGTATACAATGAAATAACCGGACTTAGTGTGAAAGGATGTGGTGTTTGTAGTATAATAGATGTACTGAATGTCTGTATTGTACCTACTAATTATTCGATAGATTATACGAGACAATAGACTAACGTGATATTACTATATTAGTAAGAAAGACAACAATAATATTCATAATGTATTTCATCATCTATAAGTACAGAAAACATGAAAAAATATTTTAAAAATAACATAGTACATAACTGTAAAGTGTACTTACATAAAGCATTTAATACATCAGTAAAATTCGATTCTAATTCGGCTTCTATAAAAGAATAAATATTCCTAAACATAAATCTCAGTTGGTTACTACTTTTACTTATTTTAGCCTTATTACCTAAACACACTTGTGTACATAATTACAATATAAAGATGCATATATGATGCAATTTGAATCATTTATTTATCTTGATGCAACTAACCATGACAGTCTTTTTTCAAGAATGCATCGAGTAAACACCTATTCAAAACATTTGACATGGCGTCACAGCAGTGGTAATCTATGTGTATTCTATAACGTGGTAACGTGTGTATTATTGTAATATTAGGTAATATATAATATTAAAGAAGAATAAAATATTCTGTTTTCGTTTGGTGTCTCCTCATCTGTTTATAAATGTATACATTGGATCTCCAAAAATTGAACCGAACGATGACAATGAAATATTCCTCTGATACTTTTGGAAAACATTTACAAATTATAATTATAATATATATAATAATAATTTAACCTATGTTTTTACAAAATATTATTTAACATTTTTAAATTTTAACATAACCATATATAATAACTTAAATCAATATGTATTTATTCATTTTCTTCACCTTCGTCTGTAATTTAATTATTGTCAAATTGTAATAAACTTCTCACATCATTATCGAACTCGATTATTTATGTAGAATTTCAGAAGAAAAAGTGTATTCATATTTTTTTTTTTAATTTTATACATTATGGATAATTCAAGCCTATAAAATAGTCTTATCTTCTTTTTGAAGCTCCAGTCGGTTTGGTGAACCGTCGGTTTGCGTATAACGTCTACTGTTTCACCCAGCCCCCTTGGCGGTACATACTACACTCGTCTGTTTAATTTATTCTTCTCCTTTGGGCCTTGAGGCATACTTATTCGATACATACTATCCAATCAAATAACATGATTTGAGTACTTTTCTTGTTTCCAACAGTAAACAATATATTGTTCTATCAACAAAATTACGTGTGTCAGTAAGTAGTGACATAGAGGTATATGCATTAAAACAGATGTCACTTATGTATTATTCTAATGTACACAAAATGACAAAAAAAATGCACAGATACTTAGTGGAGCTGTAACACACACAGAACCGTTTTGTATTTGAATCCATTTCTTACCAGTACAACCCTTATATGAACAATAAATTGTGTTCTCAAAATGTGTTTGTCATGCTAATCACGGTTTTTTACTATGAGCTGTTGGATCAAAAAATGTAACCATTTATAATTGTATAATCTCTATATTTCACTTGTATTTAACATGCTTGCAAAAAGTTATCGTTTTTATAATGAGCAACTTATAAGTGTGACTTTGAGACTGTTATAAAAAAATGCAATCTATTTATATTAATGTTCGTCATGTTAAGCGGAAGGATCGTAATTATTTCATAAAAAGGCCGAACTGTCACAGATCATCTCTTATATGTATTTCAATTACATATTATAATATATTTAATTATCCATAAGCACTGTATCCATTATGAAATATTTGTATATAATAATATAAATTACTTGAAATGTATACTTACTGAAATCTCTCATTACCAATTCCATTTCATTATTAGTTGATTGACTTCTATCTATAAAATAAAAAAATTACATTGGACATAAATCTGTGTTTGTTGATGTTCTAATATTTCAATGTGATAAACTACACACATTTTTGCAAGTAAATACAACATAAAAATATAAGTACAATTATACTGAAATCATTAATTTAGCACTGTGCAATGAAGTATGGCAGACAATTTTAACTTATGGATCGAATATAGAAATAAATTATTTCACTGAAATCATACAGGGTAAATATCAAAATGTGTGGCCGCCTAAAAAACAACGATATTATTATTAATTGTTACTATACGCCACCGACCGACACACACACACACACATACACAATCACCTTTTTTATGTAATTATTGTTTTATTTTTGTACTGCATTATGCTATCTTGTGAATTATTATAGAATATTATGTAGATTACTTATGCCTCGAGACCTTCGAGTCGCGGCGGAGTCAGCATAAGCCACCGCAGTGTCTTATAGTCTTCTCGTTTTTTCTACTTTCCGTATATAGCTGTCGGAATAATATTGTCTTGGTCAAATCGCCGTCATATTATAACATTATTTTATTGTCGCCGACGTGCATCGCCAAATGTATAACTTTGTGATATTATTATTTTTGTAGATACCTAACGTAATTGTTTATTAGCAAAATAAATATGGATATCAAAAATATTTTTGTTCATTTTATGATGTGTTTTTCCGTGTATTGAGGAGTATATGATTTGCGGGAGCGGGACCAATAAATAGCTTTCCGTTCTACGTTACACAAGTTCCGTTTTATCAAGTTATTAATCCTATGTTAAATTATAGCAATCTGCCGGGACCATAATACATTTCCGCACAAAAAAGGATTCCTTCTTATCAAGGGTTCAAATAAGACAGGCTTCACTGCATGTATATACTATTGATGTATATGATTATTATTGGCGGCTCTGATAGCTTATCGCATCATTTATAATTATGGCATTATGCATTTATTAATTGTGTCAGGCGGCCAATTAGTATATTATTTTTACTTTTTGGACCAAAAGGGTCATACAATTTGTATACCTTCTGTGTATTATTGTAACATTTATTACTATAAAATGTAGTATTTAAAATTGTTCCATAACACAACAAATCAATTATCAGAATAGTTACCATAATTTGTATTTATTCAGTTACCTTTCTGTTATTAATTCTTTAAGCACACACGCACAAACATACACACATATACTTACACTCCACACATTATCGTTCAATAGTCTTGCTCGCCGACCCCGCCCTCTTCTTTTGAATTTCTAATACGTGTATACACACATCACACATCGGTCGTTGTGTGATTGCTTACCGGAGAAGCAGCGACCAAGCTTACGCTCTATAATTATTGTTCCGTACCTAGCGCGTACACAATGGATACCAGACATCTTGATAAACCGATGAAACTTTGGGGCTATCATAAGTTAGTGGCAACAAAAAATTGGTTCAATTAATTTGTGTTATTTTGAGTTGTCGACTCACATTGGTTATACATATTATACAACAACTCAAAACCTCAACAAATAATTCATTTAATCCAAAGTTGTCCAACCAGCAGCTCTCAAAACATTAAAATTTTATAGCACTTTAAAAGACGCATAATATGTGGCTTATATATTCAAAATATAATCGATTTAAAAGGAACATTTGAGCACCCGAGTTAGGTCCTGAACTCAAAGTCGTTATAATAAATCGCTTATATCAGGGATTATTTTATTTATTCTACACTACGGTTGGTTTCATGTATTTTCATGGACTACACAGATTATCTTTGGTATCACACTATTTAGATTCATAATATTTATTTGTAAATTATGAAGGTAATAAGTCTAATAACATTTTCCTTCGCATTTTAATAGATGTAGTACTGTAAAATCTAAATGGAAGTTAGGCCAATGATGCAATTAAATCATTTTTTAACAGTCTATTTTTTTTCCTTGTTAGTTTACAAGAATACAATTGACCATTTATTACTCCATGAAAATATTATTTCCTATCCCTTAAATCCTTGAGGCTGAATTATAATAATATATTTATATTGTTGTCTTCATATACAAATGTAATAACATTGATAACTCTGTAATAGCCGATATGTATGAATTTAAACTGTAACATTCTAGATATCGCGTTACGTGTTATCTTTTATACCTATTCCACTAAATGATTAATGCATGTAGAGTGTTTGCATTTTTACTATTTATAGCAACATATTAAATTATCATTAACGACAGTACGCATTATATAAATAATGATAACAGTTTACGGATATATATGTTACCGTCAATGTCGTAAATTCAGGTAATGATGATATTGACTAGAAAATTAATATAATGCCTGGGTAACTTGGTCATTATCTATAATCAACATATATTTGTAACATTGACTTGATAAATCAGACGATGTTATAATTTGATAAATTCACTAGTTATTATAACATATCCTATCGTCGTGTAGTCAATGTTATCTTTTATCGTTTTAACTTTAAAAACCCACGTTAAGATTAGGTATCTGTTTTATAACGAATAATAATAGGTATCTTTTATAGTTTTAATACTCACGGCAACTAACCTAACATAAGTATTGTTACAGTCTACGTTGTACTTTCGTATAATATAGTTTATAGTTTTGTATAGTTTTTCATTTCGAAAAGTGTTGAATTGTTTTATTAAAAAAATGAATTCAAATGAAATGCGTCAAAAATTTTACAAAGCATTATCTGATTTATTGAAAAATAAACGTGAAGATAATAAATCATTTTTAAACAAAGAAGAATATATGTTAAGATTGCAAGAAGTTAAATTAGCTAAGGAAAAAATTGGGAAGAAAAGTGCAAAGGATTACAGATACATTCGTAAGTATGATATAATAACACTCAATGGGCAAGAACGACTTATTAAATCTATAAGTAATAATTCAGAAAATGTACACTATTATGTATCAAATGACGAATTATTTGATATTTTACACGATAGTCACATTGCAATAGGTCATGGTGGTAGGGACCGCATGGTTTATGAATTAAAGACAAAATATTGTAATATTACCAAGGAAACTATTATGATATATTTAAGTCTTTGTATGCATTGTG